GCTACAATCTTTATTACTCCCGATTACCACGGAATCTGATCGCAACGAATCACAACGAATTCCACAGACACTGTCTAGCTGAGGTCAGGCAACATAGGCCTAGACACTGGAGGCCTAGGCCCTAGAATGTAAAGTTTGCTTGTGTTGGTCTGAATGCGTTCGTTGATTGCGATCGGGAGTAATCAGTTTTGGATTACCACCGATTACATCGCAACCGATCGCAAGAGAGTGTAGTCTGAATAGGATATAAGACTAATGATAAATATTAATATTAATGATTATAATATTTATAATAATAACAATATGGAGCAATGATAACAATACTATACAAATATTACAATAATAATAAAATAATAATAATAATTATATTATTATCATTATGATATTAATAAAAAGGGAGTAATAAATGTCATTTTATGCAAAAATGGTATCTGTTCTTAACAAATATTCAGCCTATACAATAATATAATACATATAAATATATATTATATACTGTACTAACAATATTAAAGGTTCATGTTGTTAACAACGGTGATGATGATGGTGATTACGATGACTTGTCGACTTCTTTTTTGTAAGATGGAGAATATGTGAAAGGGAGATTCTTTCTGATATCCATGTTTTCGTGGCGCATAGCAATGAATGTTATGTTATTCAAAACAACGGCGATGCAGTAGAGGTGCTACCTGTGCCAAATCTATTTTGCAATCATGAGGAAGCTGACACAAGGATGATACTGCACAGTATGTGTGCAGCAAAGTCAAACATGCATTGTTGTCAAAAGCCCAGATACAGATTTGTTTTGAAATTTTGACATTCTATGCCTACCGGTATTTACTGTAATAAGAATGAGAAAATTTATCTGACCATTTTCAAGAGGGGGAAAACGTTGAATTTTGAAGAACTTAAAAGTTATTAAAGGGAAACTCATTTGCCGCTATCTGGGAATCAAAATTTTCCCGGACCCCCCTTTCATTTTGTGGGTTTGGAAACATTCTGACCCCCCCCCCCACCTAAAATTGAACCCAGATCCGCCCCTGTGTTTTGCTTTATAATCAATTGTCTCACAGAAGTCAGTGCCAGTAGGTATCACTATGTCACGTTAAGAAAGCTCGAACACAGTTTTTATTTACAGGTATTTATTTATTATTATTATAAAGAAATGGAGAAAAAAAGAAAATTATATTCAAATTTAAAGCTATGCTTCAGAGGAAAATTATTTTTGTAGTGAAAACTGATTTTTCTAAGACATGAAAAGCATTTGACAAAACACTCGGAAGCGGCTGATAAGATACAGATTTTTGATTAGGGCCTATTTAAAAATGGGGGGAAAGAGTGAGGTACGGACCTTTTTCATTACAACTTTTAAATATTAAAAAATCTGTATCTCACTAACCGCTTTCGATTTTTTTCGTCGAATATGCTTTTTTGTGTCTTAGAAAAATTAGTTTCCTCCTAAGGAACCTGGCATATACCCTATATACGGATTTTAATTACATTTTTATATACATATTTAATAATTTTTTTCTGGCCGTCACATATCATTTATTTGCAAAAAATACCGTAACAGGAACTACTTAAGGGTCTATATGGCAGGATTGCCTAATTGAAGAATGCTTGCCATCGAGGGGGTCTATCGGCGACGATTAAAGAACTGCTTAAAAATAGTAAATTATTACAGTATTTATAATATGAAATTGGATATTAAGTAGTGAAATCATAAAAAGTAGTGAAATCATAAAAAATAATCTATAAATATAGTTACATGAAATTCGACTGCTAAAAAGATTAAATGGAATTAAACTATACAGGAGGCCGCTAAACTGTATTATACACAGGAACGCACATCACGTTTGACACAAAATGGCTTCTAATTCTCAATGTCGCAATGGTCGCAACTCTTATTATTTGCTATCATTACGGCTCTGTTTGCTCTATCAGAGCCATATATATAAAGAGTTGCGACATTCCGCTCCTTGGTTTACGAAAGTCACGTGGTACACACCGTCCATTTTGTTTCATAATCTTCCCGATGAACACATGCAAAGTATATGTGTTACGTACATTGCATATTAATTTCACACACTTAATTGGGTCTACAATTATATTTTATAATTAACATCACTTAGTATGGACAGTGTATTAGAATTCATATATAATCGAATATTTGCGTGCGTGCGTGCTGGCGTAAATTCCATGCTCGCGTAAATTATTGGAATGAATTAGAATTTTTTTTTTCAATTATCGTTAATTCGTAACATTTTTAATCAACGAAGACTGAAGACCCGGTGTATTTTAATTAATGGTAATCTTTTCTTTTGTTTTAATTGTTTTTAATACTAATATATATATATATAAATATATATTCAACAGTGTTAACGGCTAACTCCCTTCAATATCATATATATATATACTGTCTCTTATCCACATCT